CTCCTCCCTCCCTCCTGTCTTGCTCTCTTTCTCCTCATTGTTTCTGTTAGTTTTCACTCTTTTTTCAGTGTTACCTACCCATTTTTACTACTGGTATTTTAATCGTACATTTTTGTGGAGTACCCTGTGATAACATAGCTACAAGATGCAATGATCAGATGATCTAGTATGTACAGTTTCAAATCAATTTCTGCTTAACATTAAAATTGTACATATGCACGGGGTGTTGTACACATTTGTTTGCATTTATTTTCACAAGCAGAAGTTCTTAAGCCCGAATAATTTCATTTTTCCTTCTTGGTAGTTGGATTTCATATTTTGACATCCAGTTTAGGAAATTGTTGCCTGCTTCAAGTGATCATGATTTCTCATATTTCCTTCAACTTTTTAAATGCCCAACACTTTTTACTTAGATCAAATTTTATCTGAATTAATTATCTGTATATGAGGAAGGGTAAACGTTCATTTTCCCACGTTTATTCAATGTATGCAATATTACTTGTTAAAGGACAATGCTTCCTTATTGCTCTACAATAGCATATTTACCACAAATCATATATGACATATGTGTGAGTCTGTTTGCTGATCTCTAGTCTATTACATTGTTCTATTTTCTTATTTCTTACACCAATAGCACACTTCTTACTGACTATACATTCATTATTGTTATTGATATCTGGTAATGTATTTCTTATGTTTTGTGCATTTTTATCAGTGGTTCTTGACCACTGTTGACTCTTTTTATTTTTCATATATATTTTGGAATTGATTTGGCAAGGCCTTCAAGATAAATAAAAACCTGTTGGAATTTTTCTGTTTTTAGTTTCTAAGTGAGTTAAGTATCCAGAACAAAGCTAAGAATTTTGATAACCATACTAAGATATCTAAAAGTCCCAAAGCATAAAATATAAAATATTTGATGTCCAAACAAAGATTACAGCCATATAAAGAAGAAGGAAAATATGATTCATAATGTAGAAAAAAATCAGTCAATAGAAACCAGCCCAGGATTGACAAACTGACAAAGACTTTAAAACTATACCCCATATTGTTGAAGTTTTGTAGAGATGGGGAAGTCAGAAAAAATTCCAAATAAAACTTCTGTAAATGAAAAAGTCAGTGTCTGTGAGGAAAACACCCTGAACAAGGTAATCATCAGATTGTACATTTAGAAGAAAAGATTGATGAATTTGAAGAAAAACAAGAAAGAACAAATAATGATCATGGAAAGAAAAGAAAAGGGGATACATGAACTGGGGATTATCTCAAGTATCTTAATGTGTAATTCTTCAAATAACTGACTGTCCTCCAAAATAATTCCAACATGTATATAGTTTGTAATATATACAAAAATAATATACCATATTATTATGGTTTATATACTATATTATTATACTATAAAATACATTATACTTACATATAATATATTTATATATTATATTTATAATATACATTATATAATATGCACAATATATAATATAGCATAATATTACATATAATATTATTATGGTTTATCATATGCTATAAAAATAATGATGTAAAGGCAGGAAAAGGAGAAATGACTAATTATTATATAACTTTAATGTTTTCATAATCTATGTGAAATAATTTGAAGGTAGACCATATTAAAATAAAATTTCATACTGTTACCACTCAGACAACAAAGCCTGGAGTTATAGCTAATAAGTCAACAAAAAGACAACAGAATTATAGAAGTGCTAAATAATCCACAATATGGCCTCAAAACAAATGAACAAGCAAACAAAGGAACAAGGAAAAGGTGGAAACAATAAAACACACAAAAATTTTGACAAGAATGTATTTAGATCAAAATTGTATCAAATCTAAGAAGTCTAAATGCCCTTTCATAAATCATAGATGGAGCTGGATGTTGGTGGTTCATGTCCATAATCCCAGCTTCTCATTAGACAAAGATTAGGAGGATTGCGGTTGTAAAACAGCCCAGGCAAATAGTTTTCAAGACCCTCTATTAAAAAAAAACCATTACAGAAAAGGGGTTGGTGAAAGGGCTCAAGCCCTAAGAGCCCCTGCCTAGCAAGCTTGTGGCCCTGAGTTCAAACCCCAGAACCACCAAGAAATCATAAGTGGACTAGGGTTGTATCTCAGTGGTAGAACACTTGTCCAGTATGTGACTGTATGTGGCCCTGGTTCAATCCCCAGCACCACCAAAACCCTCTCCAAACAAGAAACAGAAGCAAACAAATAGAATTCTATATGCCTCCTTCAAAACTGTATGTACAATAAGAATCAGGATTAGGAATTAAAAAGAAAGATGCATTATGTAAATACTAACCAAAAGAAAGCTAGAATTGCTATATTAATATCAAATTAAATTTCAGAGCAGGGAATAGATCTGAAATAAAATATATTTTTATTATATTACATATGGTATGTATGAAATGGAATGTATTCATAATAGAAAGAAATCTTATGAATAAATAATAAATAACACAGACAATTCAATCCAAAAATCTAGCAAAATAAGTGAACAGAAAGTTCAAATTCAGAAGATGTAGAAAGTAGACAGCCTCTTCTTCATACCAACCCCCCCCAAACAAGAAATAGAAATGAAATAAATAAATCTATACGCTTCCTTCCAGAGGAAATTTTATTTTCTTCCTCAGCTGTTAAGACTTACTGACTGAAAAACATCCATGATCAGCTCCTCCAGGCATATCTTGGGCTACAGAATGTTTTGCCTAAGTTATACCCATGTTGGGGACAGCTGGCAGGTCATGATTGTATGTCTGTCTTCCTTCAGCACTAATTGATGAGATTTAGAATTTGTATTCACTTTTTCAGAAAACAAAACAAAAACAGAAATTTGCGTCATGATTTTACCATTACAACTGAGAAAAATGAGATTCCAACTGGTAAGCCTCAAATTAGCAAGAGTTGTATTGTGTGGTGGCAGATCTGATACCTGATTTTAGAAAGCACTCAGCCTGGTGGGACAGCCAGTAGAGTTCCATTACAGTGACTGAACAGTTCGTCACTTGGGGGCACTGTGGATTCACTGAGTGAATCTGGCACAGATTCACTGGAACTCACAGTATGTCAGAGTATGGACATATATTATGTGTTTTAATGCAATGGTAGACAGTGGTGAATTTACTTTCTACACAAAGAAAATATCTATGTATCACTTTATAGGTAGGAAGCTGTAGCTCATGGAATTTCCCAATTTTTCATAATTAAAAATATCAAATCCAGGGTGGAAACCTACATCTCCATTCCTCCAAAACCAAAGTTCTCCCAAAGTTCCATGGTGTTCACTGGCTTGGTAAATAATACATAGCAGAGAACTATCCTATTTAAAGACCACCTGAGCAGCAGTGGGAGGTCACCTTATGGGTTGTGGTTACCGTGACTTATGCCTGTCAACTTCCAGGGTATACATTATTAAGCCAGAGAACATTTTTTTCTATTATAGATTCAAGATCAGGTTATGTTTTCAACAACAGAAAATTTTTGAGTCAATACTTAACTAAAAAGTAAGTGACAAGGGGACCTTCTTTGTAATGGTTATCTCTCCAAAGAAGTTACAGTATTGTTTGAAAGACTAACATTATTGGTAGATCATGCCTTCCTCTGGAAATGATACACTGGGCATTGGAATTCCTAAGAAATCCATACCTCAAAAATCAGCCATGAACCAGAAAATTCCCCTTCCTTGCCCTGGCACAGCCATAGGCAATGGGTTGTTTTGTTGGTAGCTCTTTGTTCCTGAGAACAGTTGATCTCCGAGCACAGATGAAAAAGCCCTCTCTGGCCAAGCCCCAGGCACAACTTCCACATGTGGGCATTGCAATGACCCCTCCTGTCTCTACTTGTGGTTCTGTGTCTTTCCTCACTAGAGCATGATTGTAGAATGTGTCCATTAAGATTCTGTCAAGATAGGTGGTCTCAGAATGGAGGCCTTACACTAAGATATGATCTGTGTAGGAAATGACAACAGATTGTGTAGGCACAGTTTATGAGCAGATGTAAACTTTTTCATGTTAGCAAATTTATGACTCAATCAATGTTCTCCTACTTGGTGGATACAATGACTTCAGAATGAACATAGAGTACTGACCTGTCACCTTAGAGGCAGCAGTCACGTGTACTTATAGGCAAACAGCTCACCCATATCACTACTTGTGGGTGGCTTTTGAGGAGAGATATATAGAAGACAACATGGCTGTCCCTGAGACTACAAGAATGTCAGGAAAAACTAAAACAGTATATAAATAAAGAATTATATCATAATGGGGATAAACTATTTCTAGAGGTCATCGCTAAGACCAGGAAAATATCATATGCACTTATAATTTAAAATAAACTACAAAGTTGTTCTGATGTCCTTAGATGGCTATCCAGTCCTTATCTGATGCCCCAGCAATGAATTGAGAGTGTCCAGCAAGCCACAGTTTATTAAAGTGACAGAAAGCTATAGTACACTGTCAACGGGTGACAGTGTACTCTGAGAAGACAGTCTCTCAAGAACTCAGTGGTCCAGGATTTGTCTGTCTTTTAAATAGTTAGGATATGGCAGGAGGGAAAAATCTGGAAGCCTTTACAGGAGAGACTAGGGTGATTAGCAGGTTTGATTGACAAGGTCTTGTTATTGAATGTTGGATATTCTGCTGGTGTGCTTTCCTGATTCCCGGGTTTTTAATGATATGCAAGAGATGCAAGTAATATTCATGAGGTCTTAAGTAAGGAAAATAGCTGAAAAGTTAATTAAGGGCATAGAGTGCTATTTCTAAACAAGGTCTGCAGTCCTGCGTATCCTTCTCTAGAAGGACACTTATAATGCAAAGCAGATGCTACCTGCCACAAAGTGGGTGGCATGGGCAGTTAGGGGTGAAATTTGGGTGGAGTTTTCATTTAGCCTACTACTTGAAGTTTTATGTTAAATCCTTTGTTTCCTTTTAGCCACATCCAATCTGAGCTGTCTCATTTCTATTCTGAAAAATTGTATATATATACGATAAAATGTTATTATATATGCCATAAATCTATGCATGCATAATTAAAAATTGGCTTATTCCTGTAAAGAAGGGGTGTGGCAGGGTAACAGCAGCTCAACTATTTTTCAGGGCAAGTGATGTCATTGAGAGCCCACATTCTATTTCCACCAAACAGGGCTGGAAGACATGACATTCTGCCCTGGTCCTGAAATGGACACCAAGCTCTTCTATGTGGCCTTCAGCCTCATGTGGGCAGGTGAGTGCTGGTCACAGCTAAGATTCATCCCTAGGAATTCTCATCTTTCTATTGAGGGGACATCAGTGGGTTCTTGGTTCTGACATTCTCTTTTACAGGACACATGGAGGCTACAATCACTCAAAGTCCAAGATACAAAGTCACAGAGACGGGAGGAAAGGTGACTTTGAGCTGCCACCAGACAGACAATCATGACTGTATGTACTGGTATCGACAAAACCCTGGACATGGACTGAAGCTGATCCATTATTCATTTGCTGTGAACAGCACTGAAAAAGGAGACGTCCCTGATGGTTACAGTGTCTCCAGATTAAAGAAAAAGGACTTCCCCCTCTCTCTTGAGTCTGCCACCCACTCCCAGACATCTGTGTACTTTTGTGCCAGCAGTTTCTCCACAGTGTTGCAAAGCTGCCTCTTCTGTGTGCATGTATTGTAATTAGGAAGACGGGTTGTCTTTGCCCACTGTTTGAAGTCCCTGCCTCCATAAGAGTCACAGAGCCCTTACCAGCTTAAGGGTCTTGCAGCATGGGCAATGTTACCCTCAAAACTAGTGTCTTTCCCATACCAGCCTGCTTGGAGGTCAACCCAATGCCTTTTGTTAGCTGGTTCTTGCTCTGCAACACTATCTTTCTTTTAGTAGTAAAGGAAATGCGTCTTTAGTGGAGATTCATATTGATTCTCTTGATAATCTCCAGACTATCATCTTCTTTGCATCCCCTTCACAATCCTCTACCCTCCCTCAATTTCTAGTGATAAACACTCACTCAGATTATCTTTGCTTTTGCTGCCGTTACGTCCTGTATGATTTGACGTACACCTTCATCATCCTGCACATGGTTTCCCCTGAATCTCTCTGTTCCGGCCACACTCACTTACATCCTGCTCCTTTCTCAGATGCCTCATGGTGTGTTCCACTTTGAGGATCTTGTTTTCACAGGCTATTACGTCTGCACTGAACATATGTCCTTCCCTCTTATTCCCAGGTCTATATGCCATTCCTTCCATGAGAATACATTTCAAATACAGTTATTCTTAAATGTGAAGAGCAAAACTTAAATTTTACTAGAACAAATTAGGGAAAATGTTCTTGGCATTCAAGGGAGGATTTTTTATTTAGTAGAGAAACAAAAGAACACAACCCATAAAGAACAATATTTATCATTTCAAAAATAGTGAATTGTTTAAATCAAAGCATATTTAAAATAAAAAATCTAAGCCACAGACAGAGAAGAGGCATAAGGATTGCAGACAGGTGATGAAGAGCCAGATGGAGTTAGTGCTCACTAACACCATGATTACTTGATGGTGTCCAGTCTCACTGCTGGACAGTCAGGAGTTCTGTCCCCATGGTCTGAACAATGGGGATGCAAGTAAAAGGATGAAAGCCAATTCCAAGCTGGTCCCTAAAAACATCCTGTGGCACTCTGTTTAGGGTCTCCAATTATGCTGAGTCATTATGGTTAATCATAGAGTTGTACACATTTACTGCAGTGTCATGTTAAGTTCAGCAACAGATCACAGGGGATGGAAACACACAGGTGGTGGAAAGGAATTTACATTCAACCTTCCTCTTACGTTCTTTTCCCTTCAGGGGGTGTCATGCAGAGCTTGTTCTCATTACATCAACAAAAATGTAGTAAAACATGCATATATATATATATATATAGAGAGAGAGAGAGAGAGAGAGAGAGAGAGAGAGGGAGAGAGAGAGACCATAGAGATTCAGTGACCAAGAGATCTTACTGAGACTGGTCACGAGTCCCTCCTTACTTAATCTGTACCAACAATCCAGCCCCAATGGGAACTCTGTGTCCAGCATAACATTGTGCACTGACTGTCTTGGCACAATGAGCCATACTTTTCAACGTGGAAAATTTCATAAATTTGTAGGCCACTGTTTGATTGCCAAGCTTCCATACACCAGCCAAAGGTCAATTTTGCAAGCAAGGCTTTCTAAGCACAGCAGTCTGGAGCCTGCTATGTCAACTCTGCTCTTAGCAGACACCCTTCAACTATCGTGTGCTAGGCCTTGATGAGCCTGGAAGCGACATGTTGCAGATTTCCTGATTATATGTAAGAAGCCTGGCTTATTGGGTTACATGTTACAGCAATGACTGCAGGAAGCCTTTCATGTCACACTGGGCTTTAAACAAATTGGGGAATAAGACTTCCATAGTCGTCACTGAGTTAGATGTGTGTTCATCAGCTTTCTGTCACTGTGACAAAATGCCTGAGAAAACCAAACAAGCACATATTTATTTGACTCATAGTTTCAGAGATTTCTGTAAATGTTCACTTGGGCAGAATATCATGGTGCAGAGTGGCATATATATATATATATAGAGAGAGAGAGAGAGAGAGAGAAAGAGAGAGAGAGAGAAAGAAAGAGAGACAGAGAGAGAGAGAATATGTTCAAGGGAACTGCAACAAAATATACCCTTCAAGGATGGGCTCCCAGTGACCTGCTTCCACCTACATTCTACCTTCTGCAGTTTCCCCCATCTCTCAATAGTCCATTCAAATATGAACTAATCAATGTATTAATCCATTTATGAGGTTAGAGCTCTCATGATTTGCTTACTTCCCCAAAGCCCTGTCTCTGTTCATTACTTGCCTTGAGAACCAAGCTTTTAATACATGAATGTGTCTCCTTGGTTTGGGGAGCTTGGCAGAATATCTCTGATCATAGAGTTATATTGTTCGCACTTGTGTGACCACACATGTCCATGTTTTGTTCTCTCATACTAACTCCCAGAAATTCTCCAGTCCTCTCATCCTTTCCAACCCAAGTCAGAAATTGGTTCATGTTTAGTGTCACCCTGCTAGCAAAAGCACATCAGATACTAGACACTGCAATTTAATTGTAAATTATATAGACTTTTAAGGTTCTTTTTTAGTTTTAGAAGGTCTGTTTAAGTTGGCATTAATTGCTGCAATATCTACATTGATGGTTTCAGGGAAGAGAAATATCTCCACCTTTCTTGGGTAACTGTCAGACCTGATGCTTATAACACTGGTGACCTGGAAGCACAGGCAGCACCAAGGTGGTATGCAATTCATCATGAAGGTTAGAGGAAGGAAAGTGAAAACTGGGCACTTACCTTCAGACAGGACTTTGTAGTCAAGCATCATTTTACAACTTTTACCTTAGAGTACATATGCTAGCTTAATGTGCTGCGAGGAAAACTGTGACACTTATCCATTTCCCACCTTGTCATTGGGAGAATGGAGAACTGGGTGAAAGGTAAATCCCTATGAGAAAGGCAAAACCAAGGGGTTACTGATATATTGAATTTGAATTATTTTGCTTCAGTCAGTAGAAACAAGGAGCAGATTTAGAGAATGGGGCTCAGATGGAGATCAAATCCCTGAGTCCTGGAGCTGAGTATGAGGACAACTGAAAGAGTTTACACACAGGCTATGAATATGTAAACTGCCCTCAGATTTTAGTTTATAGCTATTGGTTCCTAAGACTATGGGTATCTGTGGAGATACAGATGTCATTGTGGGAACTGCCATGTGGGGACAAGGACACCTCCTCCTGAGCTGCTGCTCACAAGGACTCTGACTTAGTGAGCATTGTCCTGGCCCTGACCCTGCCATGGGCATCAGGCTCCTGTGTTCGGTGGCTCTTTTTCTCTTGTAGACAGGTGAGTCCTTCTAACCCCATCATCTCTACATTGCATCTCTCCAGTGATTATCTCAACCATTGACTCTGTCTTCCTCCTTCTCAGAATTCATAGAAGCTGGAGTCACTCAGCCTCCTAGATATGAAATTACAGAAAAAGACAGACTGTGACTTTCTGGAGTAATCCTGTTTCTGGCCACAATACTCTTTACTGGTACTGGCAGACCCTAGTACAAGGCCCATAGCTTCTGGTTCACTTTCAGAATGAGGCATTCTGTCTGCATGATTCACAGTTGCCCAAGGATTTATTTTCTGTGCAGAGGCCCAAAGTGTGGACTCCACTCTGAAGATCCATTCTACAGAGCTGGAGGACTCTGCTATGTATTTGTGCTCCAGCAGCTTAGCTATAGCAATGCAGGGACATTTCCCTTCTGTGCACAAAGCCTTCTGGTTCTCCACTGCTCAGCTCACAGCAACACAAAACATAGTTAGAGAAACATGGTGTTTTTGCTAGGCTGAAATAGAGATAGCTACACAGGGAGATTCCTTGTGTTGTTTCCATGTATATATGTACTATGATCCCAATTGGTTCATCTCTACCAGTCCTCTTCACTCCTCCCTAGTCTCCTTCCCATGGTGGCCCTGGCCAGTTTAAGATTTCTATATTCCATGCACATCAACCTCATTCAAGTTTTTGTGCCACCTCCCCTTAGTGGGACCCATGTCCCATAATATTGGTGCATTTGTTGTAGGTCTATAATTCACATATGAGGAAGAACATGTGTCTTTTTGTCTTCTGAGCCTGACTTACTTCACTTAAGATGGTGTTCTCCAGTTTTATGACCATACCACCCTGAGCATGCCTGGTCTTGTCTACCATTAATTTTTCAAGAAACTGCCATACTGATTTCCATACTCTGGGCCATATGATGTTCTATTCTCATCTTATTAAGTAGTCAAGTGTACTTCATCTCATTATAAAGATTCTTATACAATTTAATGTCTCCCTATGCATTTGCTCTTGTAATTTCCACCATCTTCTCTATACATTTTAGTCCTTGTAATCACTCAAGATGCTGTTGAATGCTTTACTTCTCTATGAGGCAGCAACTTTCTCTATTTTCTCTTTTATCATAATGGTGTATAAGAGAAAATCATTTTTTAATGACAGCCATAAAGATTAATCAAGATCACTCTCATTGTTTATACTATAGTTTATACACTTTTGGCACTCCAGAACTTTACTCATTCATGTTTTTCTTCTTTTTAAATCCACAACCCCTGCCACAAGGAGTCTTTTAAGACAGAGTTCCTTCATCAAATGAAAATTTTTGTTCTGTGACAAACCTTTTAGAGGATGAAAACAGAAGCTACAGAAATGGAGAAAATATTTGCAAACCACCTACCCAACACAGAATTAGCATCAATAATACTGAGCTAAGATTCACAGAATAGTCCATCCAACCCATGGATTCAGGAGTAATAGTGATTTGTTGTTGTTTTAAACCAGTGAGTTTGGGGAGGTTTGTTAGTTAGCACACCCTGATTGGGCATCAAGTCTTATAAATTATTTCCAGTGTCTCTGAGTGACTCTCAAGTATGGTCATTAACTTTAACTGAGAACTGACTTTCCAACCCTGATTATTTTTGGACATATCAGTGCAAATTCAATAATGTTACTTCTCAGAAAATGTAATACGAAAGTATAATTGCTTCACATTTGGAAAGGACATTCCATTTTAATCTTCACAGTAGATTTCTCAGTTATGCATTGATAATGTCCAATAGGTGTATTTCAGGTTAGTAAC